AATTTCCTCATCTTAATGTTTGTTCCATGTAAATATCTGCAATGAAATCATAAGTATTTTCTAGTAGTTTATGATTATGAGTTGGCGTTTCGTGCACCTCATCTGGATGCTGATGATCTCATTGTCAGCCTCATCTACAATATATGTCCAACTCTTAGCATACTGAAGTTTTTCAATACTTAGTGGTGAGAAAGAACTTATCAAGAATCGATATGCCTGAGCCACGTGCAGATCATATGGTGTCGGGAATGGAGTAGTAAGAGAGAGAGCAATCTGCAGACTAATCGGCTTAGAACCCACAATTCCAGAATTTGGAACCAACTCGAACCAATTTTCCACTGATAGTTTGGAAATCGAATTGGGGTCCTGTAGGGAGATCAAGGTAGTCCCCAACATTTTTTGTAACCCTGAATAGGACACGAGTTCAATGAGCAGTTCTCCACTTGGTTCGCATTGGAAATCCGCAACCTGTTTCTTTCCTGATTCACATGAAATGCTTAACCTTCTCCAGGTGTTGAAGAATAGATCAGACTGTTTCTTACTGAAGTAGAGGATGAGGCTTCCTGTATGCCCAGCTGGCAAGTTCCTGACATCAACAATCTCCAGCATAACCTGAATGATAATTAGAGAAAAAGAACTACAAACATTAAAACAAAATTAAAATTAAATTCATATTCAAACATAAGTAGGAAGAATAAATTTGTTTAAAACCGTTCAAGAACGAAAAAATGTACTCTTTGCACAGGCTGAACAACTTCAATTAAGTAATGTTGAGGATCATTTCAGGATTAATCTCCTTATGCTGTAGAAAGCTTAGCCAGGATGATTAATCTTACAGAATATAAAATAGCACCATAACATGCCCTTTGAATTTGAAGGCATAACTTCATTATCCTTTATATCTGACAGATTTTATTGGCAAGCTAAGGTTATATAAGCAACTATATTTTTATTTGTGTGCATGCGAACATGTATATGCTCTTCTTTGGCCTTGAATTAGTATTTCCTCTCGAAGTCTAAAATTTAATTTTGTTGTGTTGAAAATAAAGTAGATGGTATTCGAGGCAACCTCCACGAGCATTTTCTTGGGTAATTGAATCATATCTTGGTACTTAATGGACTGAACCAGCTTCTTGCCCACATTGCTTAATGCACACAAGTTGATGGTGAGAGGAGATGGAGCACTGCCTCTATACATCGCCCCTACCCTTCAGCATCTCGAACCAAATGCCTCCTCCCACTGCTTGGCAGTTTCATTGGATCCAACATCGAGCTTCTTACCTTTAGTCCTATCAGAATCTGTGTCGTTATGCTGAAGCACCTTACTGAGTATTGCCACTTGATCTTTACAATAAAAAACAGGATGCAATTGGTGAGAGTTCCAAATAAGGTCAATATCATAAGTTGGCACAAGGAAGCGGTTAATGTTCCTCTCTCCGTTTCTTTTGATCAAATGCAGAAACCCCTTATATCGTGCCACATCTCCTTTAAGAAACCGATCATCCTTCATCCATGGCCTGGAAACCTATTGACATATTTGTACACACACATACATAAAGTAGGTAAATCAATTGGAGAGATGGAAGGATGGCGTGGTTGAAAAAGATAACAATCACATCACTAAGCAAAAATCAAGAGCGAACAACTATGTTTAGACTTGAAATGAAGAAGCTAATCAATAAAACACGTATTCAAGTTCGTTAATTAGATATAGTTGTGTAGATCTTCCATATTGTTATAAAGAGAATTTAAAAAACTATGTTGTTACTTGGAAGTAGTAAGGAGTTTGCCTTTTGACAGCTGAAACCAGATCATACTTGGTGTTTTTTAAAGCTCCCACTTTATTTTCAGCAACAGTTTCCATGTTGCCACTCAAATCGAGCTCATATGGTTCGTTCGGATACATCATGTTCCAGATTTCTTCAGTTTGCCTCTTAAAAGTCCCATGAACAGAGGATACAACATTCCGATTGTCCATGATCCTTCCATATAGTTCTTTACAATCGGTCAAGTAGCGTACCTGAGAATCAGTAAACTTAGCACAAAAGTCCCATGTAACAAGAACTAAATCATATGTGTATGTTCTCGTACTGAATTGAGCCTGTGACAATGCCAGATCCATTCACAATCAAGAGGCACAACTAAAGGGCCTTCCGAAAACTGAGACTCAGAATGCTTGGCTAGTAAGGGAAGCCAAAAGAATTTGTACCTGAAAATTGCATATATTTTTCAAAACACAACTTAAATCTGTGAACCTCCAAATAAATGGATATTATAAATAATTGTATATAACCAAGAACTATTGGCCTTATAAATGCATACATATAAGACTTCAGAAGTTCTTACTCTGGTCTTTTGGTCCTACAATAACTACCATATAATTATTTGACATTGCACCTTAAGTGCTTTTATTTATGCATTAAACTTTTTAAAATTTGAGAATATAGGGGAAAATATATAATTCCCTCCAGGATATTTATTTCTAATTAACTTAAATAAGATTTTTTTTTTCGAACAAAAAATAAGTTAATTTGTTGGGGTGCTTACCTATATATGGCACGGTCCAATGCAGGGCCATCATAAAGGTGGCGGTTCCTATCAACGGCTGCAAGAAACTGTAGTTGCTGCTTGGCTGCCGTGACAAGGTCTTCGCTTATTGCAGTCCTTTGTGCTTCAGCCAATTCTAGTTCTTGGTGATTCTCCATTCCTTACTTTGCAAATTACCCACTATATAAGTGTATATAAAATTAAACACTATTTTTTTGAAAATAAAATAAATATATTCCCCCAAAAAAAAAATTGAAAATAAAATTACTAATTTATATTTCTTTCATATGAAACATTATGTTAGAGCACACACTGTAATACTACTAAATGGTTGTAATAGCATCTATGTCTAGCCACTTATTATTTGTAATTATAATGTGTATGTTTGTGTGTGTGTGAGAGAGAGAGAGCGAGAGTGAGAAAGTGTGTGCGTGTGTGAGAGAGAGAGAGAGTACAAGTGATGTATATATACAAATTTGGTCATACAGTAGAAGATATACAAGTGATGTATATATGAAAATTTGGTCATGCATTTTACCTACAAGATGAGGTCTTCTGAGTTTGAAAGAGCTGAAAGGTTGATTGTTATTTATAAGGTCCAAACAGCAACAAATTTTCTCTTCAAATGTCCAAAACACCCTTGGTTGTCTTCAATATTACATCAAGAAAACAACATTATTATTTTCTTGAAATAGTGAAAAAGTGAAAAGGAGAAATTCCCTGCTGAAAAGTCCTCAAATGACCTTAACCAGTAATGGCCATGTGTTTAACTTGCTTTCTTAATTCTGTGTGTGTTTTCATGCCTTGTGTGCTCTCCTGGAGATTGGCAGATCAAGTGGAAATGCAATGCATGCATGCATAAGACTGTTTCGTGCCTGAAAAGCTCTGAATGGGGTGCAAGGTCAGTATAATAATTAGTGGAATACTTTTTTCTTTTTATTTTTTTCACGATGGTAGTGTCTGGCCTCTTAGAGCACCCCATAATCTATCACCGAATATATGCAATTAACCGTTCCACATGTACCCGAAAATTACTAGAAAATTTACCTGGGGTGGCTCCAAAGGGAATTGAACTCTCAACTTCGAGGATGTGAGTGAAGAACCTCGTCATTAAACTAACCTCTTGGGATTTAGAGGAATTTGAAACATCAACGTTAGTACTAGTTGTGGAAACATATTTTTGCATCTGACCATGTTTCATATTTATATATTTTTGCTTATAACAAGTTATTGATACAAATTGTATAGGCATTGCATAGAAAACATTATATACAGACTGTTATGATTTTTAGGATGAGTTACACTCTTAAAGGAGTTCAAACTTATGTCACACGCAGGCACAGATTTATGCCCACTGAAATTTTTTATTATTACATTTTATACTTCTAAATTTATACTTTTTTGCATTTATAACAAAAAAATTTGAAATTGCCCCCACTGAAATTATGAAAAACCCCTCTATTTAAATTTGCCCCCCCCCCCCCATATGAATTCCTAGATCCGTGTCCCTGGTCACACGGATAGTTTGCGAAAGCGTAAGCACTGTGGTAGCAGGAGCGAGAGCGCGTGGAGTGCGAGAGTGGCACCCTTTTAAAAGAATTGTGTGACCTAGGTTCAAACTTGTGTTAAGTGTCTAAAATATCAGACACACATTCTGTATGTATTTAAAAGTGGTGGTGCTTCCAATATGTAATGTATATGTAGTAACCAAAGAAGAATTTAATTTTTGTTAAGCTGGTCAATTTTACCTATTTAGTAAAAGTATGAACAATGAAAACCAGTAAAAAAGGACTTGATGATCTTGAAATACAGAAGATTCAAATTTTCTACAAGCTGGTTGGAAGCACATTTGTAGAATCTGGAATAGATTAGACAAGAAGCTATGGCTATGGGGCTTGAGATATGATTGATCTTTCTTCGATTACTGCGTATATTGGAAGCAGTCTAACAGTAGATTCAAGATGGGATCAAACACTAGCAAAGGTATTATTGATTATATACATTCGGATTTTTCAAAACCGCGCCAAATTTTTCACAAGGTGGAGCACAAAATCGTGCAATCTTCATTGGCAAAGTGACAAAGTCAGAACTTCAACTCCGAGGTCAGAAGGTGTCTGGGCTGAAGTATGTGCCATTGTAATGAATAGGCCTCAACCAGAAATATTGGATATCTATCGTTGCAGTTGTAACAGCTGTGTAACAGCTGTGTTAATATAGTTGTGATACTAATACAGCAGATTATTTCCATCTCTATGCAACAAGTTACAGAGCAAAAGGAATGCCATAGAAAAATCTTTCTTCATATAAATCTTCAATTTATCACCAACATTAACATTATGGGCAGTACAACAACAAACGAAAAAACATTCTAAGAAGAAACTTACTTCTATCAATGAATATCCTAGAATCTAAGCAAACCTTGGGCTAATTTGGTGGTGTGACTGAAATAAGAATCAATATATTGGGCACCCGTCAACAGCAATACCTTTGGCAGTTGGACATGCAGCGAGTTTACAGTGCTCACCATCAGCGCCCCACCACGATATGCTTATGTCCTCCATGCTCAGTGAGAAGTACAGAAGCACCCCCATGAAAGCTAGTCCAGCATCCATGGCAGCTGAAAGAACATAATTGTACCTCTGCCACCAACCCTTTCGGTACTTAAAAACGAATAAATTGAAGATCGTCCCAAAGAAGATCCAGCTATTGAAGTTCAAAGTTGTAGCCGGTGGCATTGCAGCTGTTGCTCCGAGAAGTACTGGAAGGTTTATCAGTTTGATCCATTGCTGACTCGGGAATGCTTTATGTAGCAGCCATACCAAAAGAGGTCCCAAGGCACCTCCAAGGAAGAACCAGTTGAGAGCACCATAGTTTCCTAGACTCCCAAAGATCCTTTTTGGTCCCACTAAACCCCAGATGACCGACGCATCAAAGAAGACACGATCACCAGGGCATGTCCACGGACTGTTGGGAGGGAGAAGCTGATCTTGGCATATGTTATTGACACTTGTCAGCAGCCACCACGCCGTTGCAATATTAATTGTTCCAGCTAATATAGTTCCCACACACTAATGTGAAGAGGTAATTAGATTATCATTCATCAGAGACTAAGATATATATATATTTTTTGATAACTATCAGAGACTAAAATATTTGAAAAAAAAACATGTTTTACCAGGGAAAAAAAAAAAGAAAGAAAGAAAAGATCAAGCTAACGAGTTTTTGACTCTTCTATGCCTACACCAAATTGCTAATTGATACCAGTCAATTAAAACAATCTACCACACTGTCCAATTAGTGCTGTCTCGCACACATTAGAAATTAATTTTTCAAGTATACTGCACTGTTAAATTTTTGTCAAATCTATTTAGCCACAAGATAATGATGTGCTATTACATCAGGTTTAAAACTCATTCATTGTAAAACTAATGTGTTCCTAAAACAGAATGTAAAATGTTGTGACCGCTCTTTATTTATTTTTCTTTCATTTTTTTTCGTAGTTGCTTTATTTTTCTTTCCTGTAATAATGGTTTTGCAAAAAGAGGTTATACCTGAACTATGAACATTGACCTTGGTGGAATCTTCATGTAATGCCCCAGCTTGAAATCGTTGAGAAATGAGACCGCCTGACTCATGCTTATATAGCCATAGGTTTTGAAGCAAACATTGGCTATCGGTCTTCCTGGTAAAATGACACCCATGATGTACTCTGTGATGACATTTAATCCTGGTGTCTGGCGTCAAAAGTGAAGTAAATTTTAAGAACGTTAGAGGAACCGCCCACATATTAGTTGATAAGAAAATTTTCTTCACACATTTAAGAACGTTAAAGGAACCGCCCACTAATTTAAAAATTACATTGCAGAAATAAGTTTGTAAGAAGAGTATTGGGTCCAATTCAATTTTGTTACCTGATTAGTTGTTGCAGTTATGATGCTGATAGGGAGGGTAAAAATCAATGCAAGGCCTGACGCAAAAACGAGTCCCCACCATGGCATTTGAACCTGATCATTCATGAAGATGCAAAGAGCGAGAGAGAGAACCAATGACACTCCAAGCATCAGGTGGAACCACCAGTTAGGTATGTCCTTGTACTTCCTCATCAGTTTTGTATGAATGTCACTCTTCCTACCGTATGAAGCTCGGAACTGGTTATAGATCTCCCTATGTAGTGTAGCACATCAATTTGCATATGTTCATATAAAGTAGATATAATGCTAGTAAAATGAATATTAGTCCCACAAATAGAGTGCCAAGGTAATGCCAGAAACTACTCATTAGCCTTGCAAAAACAAGAGTAGAGGACCAACATAATAAGTCTTGATAATCTTAGATGTGATATTGTCTTTATAAAGATGTATAAACGATTATAATTGGTAAAAGAAAAATCTTTTCCAAAAGATTAGCTTGATAAAAAGTATTCTATGGAAGCAATTTCTTTAGAGGACTTCCTGGTTTTTTGTCAAAAGTACATCATCTTTTGTGTTCCTATAGAATTTAAGATGAGTCCATAAGTCCTTTGTTTTGTATTATGAAAATATTTATTCTATGGTAACAAAAATTCACAACATAGCAGGCAGCATTGCATGTCTACAAGAACAACAGCTTGTGAATGAAACCCTATAAAGTTTCTCCAGTTAGGTAATGAACCCTATACTAAATTCAACAGTTCTGCATTACTTACTTTCCATTGAACAAGGCCACGTGGCTGAGTGTCGCTACAACAGCAGCAAAACCAATGCCATAAGTCAGAGCGAAGAACGTGCTGAGGTAGAGACGTCCCTGCTGCTCATATGCTGGATAATCTATCTGGAACTTGTCATTGACAATGGCTGATACATTATATATCTGCCCCTGGGCACTGAATAGATGTGAAGAGAAGATGGGGAAATTTTGGGCCGTGTATAGGTTCAATCCCCAGTAGGCTACAGGAAGTAACACGTACATTATTGCAACATACCCTACACAGACATTGGCAATGGCAAAGAATGGGGTGACAAGAGGACTGCCAAGGAATGAGGCGACGACTGACCAATCAAGGGTCAGGGACCCGAGACCAAGTCCACGCATGCCTGATCCAATCTGGTGAGCTGTTACCGACTTTGGAAATGCCCAGCAGACCCAAGAAATGTTTGACAAGATGGGGATGAGGTAGCCAGGGAAGAGGTACCAGGAGAAGCTGCAGATTAGTGCAATTGAGAAGAACTTCCCACGTGTCATTCGCCTATGGTCCTTCTCATGAAGAGCCCTGCAAAATATATAATCAAAATACTGGCAGTCAGTTATAACAACAAGCCTTTTTCCCAACTACTTGGAGCCGGATACATGAATCGTACGTTTCCATTCCACTCTGTCTAGGGTGCCGCAGTCAAACCACAACTGGCAGGCAGTCAGTTGTGTGTGTGTGTGTGTGTTTTCCCTGCTTAAATGCTGACATCAAAAGCACACTCTACTGGAAAAGATCATCTCTTGTGAAATAAAGGCAGTGATGTTAAAAAATGTTTTCACATAAAGTGCAGGATAAATAAATAAAAACTTTTACATGCTACACATGAGCAAAACAACAAAGTACAATGTGATCACAAATGAGTACATAACTTGTGTTAGAGAAGAGTTATTGCATGATATTTTGATTGGAACCTAGTAGTTGTACTTGTAGAATCTGCAGTCATAGTCGAATTTTCACGAAAATATTAGAAATATGTACCCAACCAAGGAAATTCATAAACAAAGTTAAGTTGGGGATCATACATTTTAATTCATAGACTTGAACTTTGAATTTGAAAGCTGCTTAAATTATTGGATTTCATTTCTCTTGCAATTTTATCAATTAAATTGATTTCATTTATTTTCACAACTACTAATGATTTTGTAAGATTTTGCTTTTCGAAATTTTAGTGGGGCCATGGCCTAGTAGACCCCTTGTGAAGGAGGAAAGCCAAACCTAGTTACATGGAACTGCATTGGACATGAAAACTTGTTTCTTTAATATTCTTGGCCCAAATTTTTATTTTTTGAGTTTTCTAGTTCTTTCAAAGAGTAGATATTTGGACCGAAGAGTCAGGCAGTGAGTGGTCATTAATGTAAGAGATAAGGAAGTGTAGGGTCCCACTTTCGTATATTTGGTAAGGCCCAAAATCATTTCCAATATAAAAATAATGATGCAATTGTGTCATCCCATGATTTGCTCTCCTTATTTAAGTAATGAATTAGAAAAGTTATTAAATGACTAATGTTTCACAAATCTCAAAAAACTGTCTCTATTCATTGGTTAAATAAAGATGTATTCTCCCCTTTTTAACTAATGAATTAAAAAATATATTAAATGACTTCTTTTTTCACAAATCTCATAAATCGTCTCTATTCATCGGTTAAATAAGGATACTCTCCTATTCAATGAATGTAACCAATGAATTAAAAAAAATATTAAATGACTTATTTTTTCACAAATCTCAAAAATTGTCTCTATTGATTGATTAAATAAGGATATGCCCTTTCCTATTTAACCAATGAATTAAAAGAGTTATTAAATGATTTTTTTTTCACAAATCTTATAAAACTGTCTCTATTCATTGGTTAAATAAAGATGTGATTTTCTTCCTATTTAAGCAATGAATTAAAAGAGTTCTTAAATGACTTATTTTACACAAATTTCAAAAATAAGTCTCTATTCATTGGTTAAATATGTCTATATTCATAAATATTGAGCACTTGTCAACTCTCATAATAACATTACTTATATAAAAAAAAAAAAAAATACCAAATGGAGTATTTAATTTGTGGACCCATCTAAGCATATAAAGAAACCTCAATTTGGAGGTCCATTTGCCTTATTCTGGAAAGCTCCCATTTTGATGCCAAAGTGGCTGCCCAATGACAGGTCCATCATCCATGGAACCTCCCATGTCATCAGGATAGAAAAGGAAAATAACGATATAAAGTACTTTCCGAAAAAAAAAATAACGATATAAAGTAATCAAACCTAGCAATATATATACATATATATACACACATGTACATATATATTTACACATATATATTTTCCATATTAAAAAATCTAGTATGGAAATGAAAATGGAAATGGAAATGGAACAGGAATAGAATTCTTTAATTAGAATTTACTACCTAAATTAACCACACAAAAACACAAATAAACAATTGTTGCATTTTGAATCACCAAATTAGTGTCTTGAAATCAAACTTTTAACTAAATTTTTTTCGATTTCTATGTCAAACCAAATGCTCTCGAAAGCAAAGTGCAAACACAAAATTGTTCTCTTACTTATTTTGTGTTGGATGTTCTAAACGACCCCGTGTTGAGGTTATTACCTGAAGAGAGACACTTGAACGAGACTGCTGGGCCACCACATGTGGGCCGGATCCACCACATACTTCCTCAGAATTCCAGCCCAACCATATCCCAACACCTGCACATGGGCCCATGTTAGCATAAATACCCTGTGTCAATTTGTGTATATATATATATATATGGACAATACTTAAGAATCTATGTGGATTAATAATAAATTATCATGTAATATTTAATTACCAAATAAAAAATAGTGAAGATTTGAGTATTTTCCTTATTATATTTACATAGAATTTACAGAGTTGAATCATTTGATACAGAAAATCTGAAAAGTGCCTTAAATGGGGCGGTCATATATATGGGATTAATTTTTATACTAGAAAAATAATGATTTGAAGTGCAACAGAAGTTATTATAAAATTATTAATGATTTTAATTTTAAAATAATAATTATCAACCTGTGCTAAGATTTGAATTTATCCGACTCTAAATTATCTATCATTATTCATTTAAAAATTAAGAAGATATAATTAAAATCAGAAGAAGAAAAAAAAAAGTTTCAAGAGTTTGTCTGTTAAACAATGTTAGCCAATAAACAACAAACATTGTAGGTTTACCAGAATATAGAAACACCAGTATATATATATGCATGTATGCACCTATAAATGTTGGACAAATAACTGTATAAATCAGTCGGTTCTGCCGATTATATACTCTATATATATGCATGTATGCACCTATAAATGTTGGACAAATAACTGTACAAATCAGTCGGTTCTGCCGATTATATACTCGGCCGATACAGATACACATGTATACACATATATAGGTAGGTCCGTTTATATACTGAATTAGTGAGAGAAAGAGAGAGACCTGAGTGGTGATTACAAGAATCCAACTAGCCAAGAAAGAGATTTTCCTATGGTAGAAAGCTTTGATGATATTCACAATACCGACCGCATAAGCCGCTCCGCTACCGAACCCGGCACCGGCATTGGCGAATATCGAAATCAACACGTGCTCCTTCATGTTAAACGGGCCCGGATTCAACGAGAACTCCCTCTCCCCCATACCCGGCAGCCGAAACGTCGTCGTCGGGAGAACCTTCGCCATGAGCCGGCCTATCGGAAGCGTGGCCACCTGAACCGATATCATCGTGATCACGAGCGGTTCGGTCCGGTACGAGAAGAATGTGTTGAGAAACGATAGAAGGACGCACGAGACCAGACCCAGAAACCACATGCGGAAGGTCCATACCGGGAGGGTCGGGTCGTCGTGGTTCGACACCGTCAGTCGGACCTCTTCGACTGGGGACTCTTCGTCTTCGTCGATGATGTCTGCGTTTTCTGCTTTGTGTTTTGTGATCTCTGCTGGCTCTATTTCAAGAACCATGGTGAATGGTGAAGAAGGAGAGAGCAAGTAAAGAGAAGGGTTAGATATATATATATATATATATGGACTATAGAGAGAGAGAGTGAAGTCGGTATTTGGTTGGTAACAGATTTCGTATGGTATTGGTGATGTATCGGTACACGTGATGTGAGGGAATTTCTGCGTGTATTGAGATTTCAAATCTTTTTAAGTTGGGAATTTGTCTGCGTCATTATCTTAAAGAGCTAATATGAAATTACCTAAATGGCACTCTTGGATCTTTGCCAGCATGTAATTTCCATGTGCACCGTCTCACCTTGACCTAAATTCTCTCCGATGCGCCAGTACTTTTAGGTTTAGTTCTTCTATAAATAGCGGAGATTCGTTGCAGAAATTTATTGTGGATTCCATTTTACGTCAACATATGACACAAGTATGGAGCCATGAATTAATGTAATTAATGTAATTTGTCAATACATTAATTTTATTTTTTATTTTTTTAACACATTTATTTCATTTTTCAATCCTTTAAATCTAGTTGTTGTGTTGACACCTAATTTAATAATTGGACTTGGACTACAATTGGGCTGAAAGTGCGCCACAATTGAGTTGGGCTGAAGAATATTACTACTTTACATAAATTAAACAATGGGCTTATGATACAATGACGTGATAGTGACTTGGGCTGTAATGGGAGATTCGGCTTTGTATATGGACTTATTATGTGAATGTATTTTGACTAAAGGGAGTTGTATGCTCCACGTGAAATTCATATTGCATGCAAAGATGGGAGGAATATTTGAATTAAATGGTGGCTAAAGATCACTATTTTAACCTTATCTTTTAAGTTAGGGGTAAGTGCAACAAATACCCTTATAATTTCAAAAATATGCAAATCACATCCCTGGTGTTCAAACGCCACCCCTATAGTTTCAAAATAGTGCAAATAAGGGCTTTTGACCAAAAAAAATTGGCATGTACCGTGCATGTGACCAAAAGTTTGCCTTTAATACCAAAACTACCCTTTTGCACTACCCAAAATGCCCACAGGGGATTTTTGCACACTTTAAAATACAGGAGGTTTTTTGTAAACATGAAAATAATTATCCCTCACTCTTACAAATTTATAATCAAATATTTCATATATTATATACAAATATAAAGAATTATATATATAAATATAGAGTCCTACTCTCTTGCTCCCTGTAGAGTAAGAAAATTAGTCCACACTTTCTATATAAACCGTTAGATTAAATCTAACGGTTATTTTTCAAACCCACCTATAGTATTTCTTTTTAACACAAAATCACTCTCACCCTATTTTTAGTTTCTATATTTAATTTTACAATTATCATCTACTATAACAATAAAAGGTAAATTATCAAAATAAAAATAGAAACCTTTGAAAAAAAATAATACCAATATATTTTACTAAAAAATTGTTTTATTTAGATGTTTATTTGAAAGAAAAACTACACCCGTATCTTTCAATTTGCAACAACAGTATGATATTATAGCCTTTTCCTAAAAAACATCTTGTTGTTCTCCGTATAAATAAATTAATATACTTTTCTAGTATAAGTAAATTTACCAACAAATATACTGTAATTTTTGGAATATGGAATTGATTAATTGGAGTTTAAATTAAAGAAAATTTCAGTTAAAGTTTAAACAAAAATTCTTTCTATTTCAATTTGAAGTTGGGCATTTGGTGAAAAGATGGGTGAAGCTCTTCTCACTACCTTATCAATGGATTTAAATTCAACACACGAAGAAATGGAGAGAGTGTTAATAATTACCTTTTATTGTTATGTAAGTGGTAATGGTAAAATTAAATATAAAAATAAAAACTAGGGTGAGAGTGGTTTGTGTTAAAAGGAAAGGCCAAGAGTGGGTTTGAAAAATGACCGTTAGATTTTAATCTAACCGTCTATATAGAAAGTGTGGACTAATTTTCTTGCTCCATGGGGAGCAAGAGAACAGGACTTTATAAATATATGTGCATATATACATATACCCTTATTTAATATATTTCTCTCTATAAATACTCTATCTATATTTAACATATTTTATCTCTCTACTCTAACAAGTTTTTCTCTCTCTGATTGGCCCCTCACTCTTATAAAATTATTGTTAAATATTTCATATATTACATGTAAATATATGCAGGAAGGCTCTCATGCGGTCTAAAAGAACGGGTTTTTCAGCGAACCAAAAGTCAAATAGTCAATTACAACAATTACAATTTTTTACTTTATTAGACCTAACCATAGTTAATAATTGTTACATTAATATTCAATTTACCATAGTCAGTTGTACCTTTATTCAATTACTTACCTCCTTAATCTTTTTCATCTTCCTTGCAATCTCAACCACTACTACCATGATTTGCTAGGTATGTAGTATTAAAGTTCTTATTAATGATGATCTAAATTAGAGAAACTGTGAAGTGGTCAATGGGGTGTGTGTGTGTGTGTGTTTTGTGCACTTGACATGACCTCGCCAAAATGTTTTTGCATGATTATTTTCAACCACTAAAAAATGTTAAAAAAAAAAAAAAAAAAAAAGTTAAGTAATAAAAATAGTTTTTGACATATTTAAAAATTTGAACATCAATTTTCTGATACCATAAACTATTTCCAAAATTGGGATGATAAGATTGGATATTTAATTGTATTTATGATAAAATTTTGAAGGAAATTGTTCGTGAAAATGTAAATGGGAATGAAAATGAGAAAATTGCCAGAATTTGGAGATTTTTCTTATTTTTGTCTCAGAAAACCCAAATTTGGAGACCTTTTATTGTTTCCATGCTAGGATAAAATAATATATGTTTTCTGTTTGAGACTCCATTATTCACTAAGTGTGGAATAATGGGTCGAAGAAAAAAATAAGAAAAGTAAAAAAAAATAATAATAAATAAGAGAGCAATAGTCAGGCCATCAAAGGAAAAAAATTAAGAGAGCAAAAAAATAAAAAATAAATAAATCAAAGTGCAAAAAGAAGAAAGAGAAAGAGAGAGATGGTGGCTGTAATGGTGTGGATATGACAGCGGTGATTGAGATTGCAAGAAAGATGGAAAAGAGTAAGGAGGAAAGCGATGGAATAAGGTATATGCTAACTATGGTAAATTGGATATTAAGGTAACAATTATTAACTATAGTTAGGTCTGATAAAGTAAAAAATTGTAATTGACTATTTGACTTTTAGTCCGCTGAAAAATCCGTTCTTTTGGAGCATTCCTGTGTATATATATATATATATATATATATATATTCATTCAACTCTCACTATCTCATCCCATTCGCCATCACTAATACACCACCACCCCATATCCGTTGCCGCCAATCACACCACCACCCCACCTTCGTTGCCACCAATCACACCCTTGTATATATACAACACACATTAACATAAATTTTCTGCTATTTTTTTTTTTTCGGAAGTTAATTTTCTGCCATTTTTTTCTGAGTGAAGGAATCATGGGTCGCCGGAATTGGGTTTGTGATACTTTACACACACATATATATATATATATTTGATTACACATATATATACACACTCATATAATTGGTTATGTGATTGTTGTGATAATTTTGATTCGAACTTGTTGGGAAATGAGATTTTGAATTAATTGATTATTTGGTGGTGTGTCGGCAGTGGTGGTGGTGTTTCAGCCCATTTTAGTGTCTGGGTTTAAAAATCAGTGGAAGGGGTAGTTAAATAAGGAGCCCACCTCCTCCACTGAAACACCATGTTCATTATCCTCTTCATCAAATTTGGTTGGTATGCAAATCAATATGATAACAAAAAGAGACCCACAATATTATAAAAAATAATGACAGTATCATTTTTTTATAACGCGGTATAAAAAATAAAGGTCTCTCCTCTGCTCTAAGCAATTTTGATGGGCACTTGCTTGTCCTGATTGGCAATCTGGGTTTGTAAAAGAAGAGAAATAAGGGTTTGCAAAAGAAAACCATCCCCCACATGGGAGAGGGTGATAGGAACATGCGCTCGAGCCTCGAAGGGCGCTTTCGGCAAGTGGTTTCGCTTCTTTTTCTTTTCTTGCTGTTGGTGAGTGAGTAGCAAGGCGGCATAGAAAGCTTAGACCCTTCTTCGTGGTCTTCAGAGCAAGCCTCCGATTACAAATCAAACGATCCAAATCTCAGCTAACCGGCCATGGCATCGGCGACCATGGCGTACCTGACGGTCATCGCTCTATTGATCACTGCAGTTGCATCGACCTACAACCACATACACCAACCACACTGTTGGTGGCACAGCCGGATGTTTCTTCAACCTCTCCACCAACTCTTCCGCCCCCAATTACCTCTGCCCAGGGGCGAAGCCAAGATTGTATCTTAGGGGGCAGAAGTACTTGACAAAAAAAAAAAAAAAAACCAACTACCATGGCATATATAATTTTTTTCACGTAAAAAGACAAAACAATAAAAATAAAAAATTATAGCAAAATCACTAAATTTTTAAGAAGCAATTTAATATTCTTGATCTAGTTTATGTGATAAATTCATATGAAGTTGTGAACAGATCAAAATTAAATTGAAATAGAAAATTTATTCTGATTTCTATCTCTATCTTTCGATTCTCACCCCCCGGGCACATGCTCCCTCCGCCCCTGCCTCCGCCACCAATTACCCAAACAACATAGTCTGTAATTGTGCTTTGCTTCTGAGGATACAATAAGTAGTATGGGCCGGTTATAGTCTGCAGACGTGGCATCGGGGCGAGCAATTGAAATACAATCCATATAAGAACACCACATAATGGGCCGAGCTCGGAGGATCCACCGAAGAAAACCAAGCCCATTGGAAAGAAGGCCCAAAACGGATAGTCCAGCAGCACTTGTAATTGCTTATAAAAAAGCAGCGGAGATTTATTTTTAATTGAAAATGTAACGAGATTCTGTGAAAATAGAGAGAGAAAATTCTTTGCATCTTCAATTGGCGCCGTCTGTGGGAAGCGTTGTGTAATACCCTAATTTAAAAAGGATAATCTTG